TCTTGTGTCATTAAAACTTGATTATGCTTCATTTTTACCTGCAAATTGTTCCATTTTTTCCCATTTTATAAACATGGAAGATTACATCTGCCTGGACTATTACGTTTAATACTTTTTTTAATATCGGAGCTAAATTGTCCATGATTCAGCAATCGGGAAACCGCAGCAAGTGTTAGCATTCAAGGCGGTGAAACCACGCAGCCTTGAGCTGGTCCACATCTCCAGACACCCATCAGAAATGAAGTGTGATGCCGAGAACCGCCAGCCTCCGAGGTCTTTGTTTGAAAAAAGGAGTTCGGAATAGAAAAAAATCCGTAGGATTGAAAAAACAGGAGGTTGGTTGGTCTGTAGGTGACGTTGTTGGGTTCCTGGAGGACCTCATGATGGAGGAGTCTCCACCTCTGCTGCTATGGTGAATACGGCCGTTTCGAACCTGCGTTTCCTCTCGCTGCTTCCGTCTCTCATTTAAAGATAGTTGCTCTCCTGCTAATGTGAGTCAGAGAAAGAGTCACAGCTATTCCGCTGTTTAATTAACACATTTTTTCCAATCTGCAGTAATAAGGAGGTGGTGAGATGCTGTTTGGGAGTTCCTAGAAAGCTCCTTGTTAACTTCACCCTGTTTCAGTGCTGGGCGGATAATACGGGATATTAGCAGACTTGAAATGTTGGCCTTCATTAATTGCTGCCCTGAACACTGGTTGAGTAAATTAGGTCATTATATTTGAGTGTTTAGACGTCTTATCGCTGGGCTGAGCCTTAACTTCTGCTCTCCATCCTACGCAGTCTTCGGGGCCCATTTGCTTTAAGGATGATTTCTCCCAGCCCTCCTGCAGGAGCTGGCTACCATTTCTCACCAGCCGTCCCACCCCATCGTGCGAGCAGATTTCTTTTTTACCGTTTCCATTTGTTTTAACCATTCATCAAGCTGTGACCAACACCTTGATGCATTCATGGCACACTTGATGCAGTCCGGGGCGTCCCATGGCAGCAGCTCAGCTTGTAGTCTAAAAAAAAAACCACACCCCTTAAAGCCCAACTTTAAGTGTTCTTGAGGATTTTTCCCCAATTTAGCACTTAAGAAATAATGTTTCAGGGGCAACTTCATGGCGCCTTCCTTGGAAATGCCTCTAAAGGTTGGGAATTCAGGTGCCGCGTATCCTTGGCGCAGGGACATCCCATCCTCGGGGCAGGTTGCACCTTCTTTAGGTGCTGTACTTGCCATGAGGTCTTATGGTACTTCGCTGCCAGGTGGCAAGAACTGGATTACGCAGTGTTATCACGGACCTGCTTAAAGCCACCCCTTTCTTTCTGGAGAGCAAAATCGGTGGAGGGTATGGGTGTCGACCCCATATTCATCACGAGTCAACAGATAGGAAGGCACCCTGAAAGGAAGCAGAAGAAGAGCGGAGATCCTTACGGGATGTCCTCACTCCAGGGAAAGCCTTTAAAAAAAAGACAAATGTGATCAGACTTGCATTAGAGGATCTTGAGCCGGTACCGCTGGGTCTTCCTGGAAGGAAAATGTAATTTTATAAGCACCAGACAGCTCAGAACGTAATGCAAATAGCAGCAAAAACCCAAAGTGACACTCAGAGCCAGCAGATCAGCTGATGTCACATTATCCTTTAGGTTATTTTTTGTTAGGTTAGGTTTATTTTTTGGGGGCAAATTTCCATGTTTTGGAAAGGATCCTTCATTTTAGTTTGTTCCCCGTATACTCAGCATCTCCTAAATGCTGCAAGATAAGTTAAGATTTCTGTAGCCCTTCGATAAAGTGTAAATCTGGGACTTGGCTGCTCCAGCTAAACAGCCTGATGGGATGGTGGGGATGACTGGGGGATGCTGAAGTCCATTCCCTTTTCCTTACATCCAAACAGAAGAAAGGCGAAAATTGCAGCCTGCCGTGTCAGGATCACAAATATTGCAAGGGACGTTTCCCCCGCTGCCCGCCCCTGCCTAACCACTGCCCTCCCAAGCCCCCGCTGCTCCTCCCGGCTTGCCAGCCGCCTGCCGTGCCTGTTTACCCAGCAGAGCAAACGGCTTTCCTTAAAGGCAGTAAAGCAGATTTGCTGCTTTTGTCGCTGATGCAAATAGCCTGTGGGGAGCGGGACAGGTATCAAGGTGCTTGAGCATCACTTGGGGTTGCCTCTCCCACCCGCAAGGTGAGCTGATGGTCACAGCCCTCCTTTGCAGGAGAGGAGACCGGTCGGCACTATCCACCTTGATGAAATACTTAAAGGCACCCATCATTTTCACCTTAATATTAAGGTTTGGACCATCGGTGTTGCTGCTTTTCCGGTCATTGCTTGGGGACATAGGCAGGGGACAGCAATACTGTGCCATGAAATTAGATCCTCCAGCAATTAAATTCCGGTTTTGCCCATCACACCCCGAGCAAAAAAGGTGAAAGAACAAAAATCCGGGGAGGAGAGAAGGAAAAACGTGATTGTCATCAAGTAGGTGCATAGCGACGGGTAAGCAGGTGTGGGGATACTGCTGTCTTAGGTGGTTTAAATGCTGGTGGAGTCTCATCAAGTCATGCCTTGACCATTGGGAATACTCATCAGCTCTATGGCCCGGTGTAGGCAGCGCGGGAAGAGCCACTGCCGAGCTGGGTGGAGGATGCAGCCCCGGCTGCTGTGATCGATGAGCCAGGGGGCTGAATGCTGGACTCGGAGGTCTCGGCTTGGTGGCTTTCATGGGATGTCAGTAGATGCTGGTGCATCTCGGTATATCTCCTCCATGCTGAGTGATGCCCAGTGAGCAGCCGGTGCATCACGAATGGCGGCTCGGGTTGCTCATGTGCCGGGTGGACCGGCTCTGAAGCTGTAAATCCTCACCCTAACTTGGACTACTCTTGTCTTTGCCAGGGTACACTGCGGGGACTCCCTACAAGGTCCCACCGACCCAGAGTAACAACGCGCCTCCTCCCTACTCGCCGTCTCCGAATCCGTACCAAACCGCTATGTACCCCATCAGAAGTGCCTATCCACAGCAGAACCTGTACACCCAGGTAGGTGCCTCCCCAGCCGCCGTGACAGCTCACCGCCTCACTCAACGGTGTGCAAATACAGCCCAAAAGTTCCTGCAGGGCTTCGTCCTTGGCTGTCAGGGCTGAGCACCCACGTGCTGGTGGGATAGAGCTGCTCATGGTGGGGCTTGATGGGTCTCCGGGATGCTGGGGGTCTCTCTCCTGCCTCCTCCGTTGGAACCTCTGGATGAGACGTGGTCTTGCGTGGTTGTCGGTGTGCAGTGGAGTCAACGCAGTGGCATCCGTGTGGCTCGGCCAGGTTGGGAATCGGGTCCCTTCCCCCAAAATCACACGCCTGACTGCCAGGGCTTGCTGGCTCCAGGATGGTCCCTACACCCACCTCTCCCCACTCTCCCCAGCTCTCAAGGCTGCTTTTCCCCAGGGCCACAGATGAGTCTGGGTCACCACAAGGTCCACTTGCTGGTGGCCGTTGGCATCTCACTTGACTTGCATCACCCTCCTGCCACCTCCCATGGAAGAGTCCCTGTGTCACCTTCACCAGCACAAGCTACTTCAGGCATGACCCAGATTTACGTCCTCATGGAGGAGCTCCTCCCTGAGCACCTGGATGGGTTACCAGTACCATCTTCTCTGCTTCTGCATTGCCACCGCCTCCAGCTATGTGTTGGGGCCAAGGTCCTCCACAGGGATGCAATTTAGGGCAGATGTCCTCTGAAAATCACCTTGATGCCCCTTCCCGCTGAAGATCATGAGCTCCTCGGAGCAATCTGGCCCTATGGCTTCCCTAGCTTTCCCCCTCCTCTTTAATGTCAAATAACCAACTTCTCCAGCAGCTACGACCTCATGGTATGGTTCCTCCATGCCTCGCTGAGACGGGAGCATCTCCTCTTGCCGATTTTGTCCACTGTCACGTCTCCTTCCGTTAACTGAGCATTGCATAAACCGCCAGGGACCAAACCCATCCCTGCCTGCTGGTTCCTCTTCGATCCCGGCCGCAGCGGGAGGTTGGCATCCACTAGCAGGGCCCACCAGCAAGCCTGAGATGGAGCAGGGCTTGCAGATGCCGGTTCCTCATCTCTGCTTCTCAGGGACCAGCAAATAAGAGTTTTGACAGCCTGGAAGGGAACGACGGTGAGAAGAAGATGCTTTGCTAGAGCCTTCCAGCACGCTGTGCTTGCAGCACTCGCTGCCTGGGATGTTCCTTCTCCGCAGCTGATTTCTCAGTCACCTTTTCTTCATGGGCCCAATTTATCTTAGCCCATCTTTCTCATTCCCCAAGGAAATGCCTTTCAGCATCTGCAATTTGTCCTATCAACCTTCGTAGCTCCTGAAAGAAAGAAGTAATTTAATAGTTCACCCGCACCTCCTTTTCCCCTTAATCCATACCGTCAGAGGTTCTCTAATGGCTTTCACTAACGCACGATAAAATCTGCCTTCGTTGTTTTTTAAACTCTCTAATCTTTCCGACCGTCCCTGGTTTGCAGGTACCGGCGGTGTCCCTGCCTGTCCCAGGGACGGCAGTTCTCTCCCTTGCGCCACTCACGTTTCAGGCCCTTCATTATTTTGGATGTGGAGCTTCTTCTGTTGGCTCCTTTCTTTTATTCCCACCCGTCCTCCCCCCGCCCCGCCTTGTTTCAAAACCTCACGGGTCTCAGCAGCCTGGATTTCGGAGCCCCTCTGTCTCCCATCGGAAACCCAAGAAGATGACATGCTTCCTGGACCCAAGCAAGCAGAGAGAGCCATGGCTTCTCCTTTTCTTCCATCTCTTGTTCATCTTCTGTGCCAGCAGCCAAAGTCTTTTGGGTCCAGGCCCCATTTCATCCCACCAAACGGAGGCAGCACAGTTTGTCCCTGACGAGCTGACTCTCGAACCCGTGATGCTGACGCCCCTCCCAGTCCCATGGCCTTCATCCATCCCGGGGACCATCCCACGCGTCCACGGGTTCAGCTTCATCCTCGCTTGTCCAGGTCTCTAGGCACAGCAGCTTGCTCAGGGGAAGGACCAGCCCTTTGGCAGCGCTTGAATGATGTCCCACGAGCAGCTCTTTGTACCAGCAGCTACGCGTGACGCCTGCTTGTCTTAATACTGCTTCTGCAACACATCTGGAGGAGCTGAGGGCTTGAAGTCTCAAAGTGAAGGACTGTCACAGCGGAGCCGCTCCGGGCTCGTGATACGGGCTGGGTTTGGGAACCTCCTATGTCCCGTCTGGTGCAGGGGGGTAGATGTGGGGCTCTGCTGCCGCAGCCGGCAGGGCCGGCCCCGAGAGCATCACTGCTCACTCTGCAGCAGGATCTACAGTCGCAGCTGATGTAACTCCTTGCTGACAGCACGGTCTGTGTTACCGGGCTGACACCCACTGCACGCAGAGCTGGTGATCGCCTCTAAATCAAATACTGGGCTTCAAGTCACTGCTTTGGCTTGTGCTTTCAGTCGAACGACAAAGACGATGGTGGGTTTTTTTTTCCCTTCTCAAACAGGGAGCTTATTATACCCAGCCAGTGTACGCGGCACAGCCTCACGTTATCCATCACACCACCGTGGTTCAGCCCAACAGCATCCCATCGGCCATCTATCCGGCCCCGGTCGCTGCGCCCAGGACCAACGGTGTGGCCATGGGGATGGTCGCTGGGACCACCATGGCAATGTCAGCAGGTAAGAAGGAAAGTTCCGTTGTGTTTTGAGCCATAGTTTCCTCTCTCGGGCGGGACATACCCAAACAACCTGTGCAGGAGGCTTGTCCCGGACGAAAAGCTCTCTCTGCATCCGACGTGCTGCCTGCAGCCTCGCAGGGGGTATCTGGCAAGTGGCTGCAGAAGCGCCTTGCACACAGCTAATTGCAGCTTCGTCTGCTAGTTTTGCTTGCTGGTTACCACTCCTTTGCAGGCAAAGATCAATTAATTTGCTCCTGATACTGGTCTAACTCAGTTTTTATGTTAGCAGAGGGGACCTTGCGTCGGCTCACTCCAGATGGATGCACTCTTGCATCCTTAATATATTATCCTTTCCTCTGTCTGTTCCATAAGTAGAGGAATAACCAGGTTTGTCCCTCTTCAAATACTGTTGTATTTCTATCCTCAAGTTCCTTTTTTAGGATACTTATGGTCTTGCTTTCGTCTGACGAAATGAACATTAACCTTGGTTTATGTATCCCAAATCCTCTGCATTTTATGTGCAGGATTGCTTCAAACTGCAATTAATTGATAGCACATTAAGTAAGGATATGGGCTGCTTTTATTTTTTCCAAAGCCTGTATTTCTCTCACTAACAATTCTTAGGATTGTATATTGAATTATGCCAAGAAATGAATCATTCATCCTTTTGCATCTGCATTAGCTGTGAAATAGGACTCTGTCATGGGACGCGATCCCTGTTGCAAGCAGAGATATTGCAGCCTGGGTATGACAAGAACCACTCTGAGAGATTTACTGTTGCTTATGCTAAGTGGATAGATCTAATTAATGCACGTGGGATGTCTTAAAATTTCATTAGTAGCATTTGTAGCGAGATACCCAGAAACTGAGAAGTTGTTTTGAGCACCCAGTTACTCCCAGACCAGAGTAGCTTGGAGCTGTATTCTCCCTCCCCATGTCATAGAATCATAGAATCATAGAATCATAGAATCATTAAGGTTGGAAGAGACCTCCAAGATCATCGAGTCCAACCGTCAACCCAACACCCCCAGGCCCACTAAACCATGTCCCTCAGCGCCTCATCTACCCGTCTTTTAAATACCTCCAGGGATGGGGACTCCACCACTTCCCTGGGCAGCCTGTTCCAACGTTTAACCACTCTTTCAGTAAAGAAATTTTTCCTTACATCCAATCTAAACCTCCCCTGGTGCAACTTGAGGCCATGTCTGCTGAAGGCACCGTGCAAATTCTCACCTAAAATCCCTCTGCGTGTCAGCTGCAGACAGAAAGAAAAGAGGCTGCACCGGGCATTCCCTCTGCTTCGTGCCTGGGGGGGGGATCGCTCCTGCTGCACCCCAAGGCTCTCAGCTCTGTGGGTTTAAATGAAGCAAAAGAGCTCCACTGCCCTTGGGAGATGAGTGGCAAAGCTCATCTTAATTTTCCCGGGAAGGTCTGGGTTTTTTTCTCATCTCCGTTTGCAACCCTCATCCCTTCCAGTTTGGTCCTCAGATGTTTCAGATCGCTGCAGTGATCTGCTGTGGCAATTTAGCCCCGTGCCTTCAGCAGGTGGAAGATGTCAGCAGGTTAGTGGCTAGCTCTGCTGCTGGCCTTTAGGGACAAGGAAAATCGGAAAAAGATGAGTTAAGGGCCGAAAGTAGCGTGGAAAATATGCTGGAGCTTCGGGTGGGTTTATTCCGTTCCTGGTGCTGGCTGATACCAACCGCATGAGTCAAACGCCTTCGATTCAGGTCTCACGGGCAGAATAATATTTGGGAGAATTGAAGAAGAAAAAAAACCAGGCAGCTGATGCTGCGCCTGCCCCTCGGATGCGGTCCGCAGCACCGTACCCTCGGGGTACCGCTCCCCCGATGGAGCTCTCCTCCCTGCTAAATATTTCTCCGTGCCGTTGCAGGAACCTTGTTGACCACCCCACAACACACCGCCATCGGAGCACATCCAGTTTCCGTGCCAACGTACAGGGCTCAAGGAACCCCCACCTACAGCTACGTACCTCCACACTGGTAAACCCACTGGCCAATTCATGTAAGTGCTGCCTTCGCAAGTCTTGCTCTGCCTTTGACGATTAATTAGCCACCGAGCACTGCCATCACTTCTCTCCTTCCTACAAAGCTGCTGAATCCCTTTGTCCGGGCGATGCTCTGACTCCAGATGAGCCATTTAGCACTGCTCCCCGGCAGGGATAGCCGCGCAGCTCGCTGTCCTGGGGCTACGGAGGGTGTTAGCAAAGCCCAGCGTACCTTCACCTTACATCTTGCTGCTTGGTGCATGCAAGGCTTTACCAGTGACCTCAGTGGCATCAAGCCGCTCCGAGTGCAGTTGGGCACTGTGAGGGTGGCAGTTTTCATGTTTTAAGGTTTTGGATGCATCACGCTCTTTCATAGAATCGCAGAACGGTTTGGGTTGGAGGGGACCTTAAAGGTCGTCTAGTTCCAACCCCCCTGCCGTGGGCAGGGACATCTTCAACTCGATCAGGTTGCTCAGAGCCCCGTCCAGCCTGACCTGGAATGTCTCCAGGGATGGGGCATCCACCACCTCTCTGGGCAACCTGGGCCAGTGCTTCACCACCCTCACAGTAAAGAATTTCTTCCTAATATCTGATCTAAATCTACCTTCTTTCAGTTTAAAACGGTTACCCCTCATCCTATCACTACACTCCCTGATAAAGAGTCCCTCCCCATCTTTCGTATCACTTGAACATGGGTTTTTTTTCTTCCCCTGCTAAAACGTGCTGGGAGATCGTCCTGTTCATTAGCACTGGGGTTGCGTGCAGCTGCCTGCAACTGGCTGCAAGTTCCTCTCGCGCTCAGGATCCCAGAAATCCCAGCTGCTCATCTGAACGCCCTCCGCGTGTTGCTGGAGCCCTTGGTCCATCATGCCCAATTAACGGGCAACCCAGCTGATGGGAACACGGGGAGGCAGCGTAGATCTCATCCATTTCCACCAATGAAGTCTCTCCTTGCTGCATACATTATGCTGGGCTAATCCTGCCCGTGACAAATTGTTGTGCAATTAGCAGAGAGCATCCCATCTGCATATTTTTAAGCCTCTGCATTGGATAGCACCGACGAGCTGCTGCTTTCTCAGCTCTGTGCCCCAGAAATTGCCCGCAGAGCGGCGCGAGGGATGGTTAAATCCCGTGTGCATCAACTATGCATGCGGCACGCGGCGCGGAGGAGAGGGAACAGCCCTGTCTGATCCCGCACCGCTTGCTTCTGACTCCTTGTTTTTTAATATGTTTGCTCTCTTCCAGATCCGGAGTCAAACATTGTATGCAACTACACAAGTCTTACATCGGTGCTGTGGCCGCTGAACTGCAGCACTTCGTCTGTTTGCAAGAACAAAAGTAAAAAACAAAAAAAAAAAAAACAAAAAAAAAAAGTGCAAGGGTCACTTTATGCATTCTTTAGTGGTTTTTGTAAAAGCTGCTTTTTCTAATCTTCTGCCTCTTTTTTTTTTTTCCCCCCCCTCTCCCCCTTCCTCCTCCCCCACCCACATAAATTGTGTAACACACATACTGACACTGAGCAATAGTAAAGTTCTCTCTTTGGTCCTATCATTTGAAAGCTCAGAATATTCACTTTTCCAGCATTGCCCAGCTGAGTGGTGCAAAGATCCCCCACTTCTCGTTCGTTTGGGTTCTTTTCGTTATTTTTTTTTCTGTTGTCGTTGTTGTTGACGAAAGCCTAGATTTTCTTTGGCTAGTAAGAGTGGTTGATGTTCAGGGTACTACGTGAAAAGCACAGCGCTGGTAGGCAGGCTTATTCCGATTTGGTTTGGGTATTTTTAGTTGAATAATATAAATTATTTAATCTTCCGTAACATATTACAAGAAAATTGTTGTCTTCCAGATAGCTGTCGTGATAGATGATAAATGCATTATCTGCAGTGAAATTCTGAACTCATCCCTTCTTTTGTAGGAGTAAGAGAATATAAATATAATTAGCGATGTAACACACTTGTCTTAGGAAGTAGGAGGACTGGTCACCATCGGGTCTTTGGTCTGCTTTTTCCAACTGGGCAAACGGATCTTGCGTGATGGGAGGAGCGCAGCGGAGAGACGCGTGCCCTGGTGGCATCTTGCACCTCTTGGGAAAATGAGATGCTCCCCGTCGGCCGCATCCCAGGGCTGCGTGAGGAAGAAGTTCCTTCCTTGCGCGGGTACCCTTTGGGGGCAGAGATGTGCTGGGTGGCTGGTGAAGGAAGCAAGGAGACGTCCAAGGGTTGGTCTGAAGAGCTTCTCCAGGGCCGGGGGTTGGTCTGAAGAGCCTCTCAATGTCCAGGGGTTGGTCTGAAGAGCTTCTCTAGAGTCTGGTGGGAAAGAGGGCGGCTGGTTGATGGAGAAGAGTCTTCGAGGCAGGGCGAGGGGGAAGATGGGTGGCTTCGCCTTGCACCCGTGTCATTGGCAGGGCTGAGACCAAACTGCGACGCCTTTGTGGCAACCGAGGTGCCCCCCCCCCATTCTTTGGGTTACATCTGGGCTCGGAGACTTCCAGGAGAAATGTTCATCCAAGCACAAAACCCGGCACCGTAGAGAAAAGCCGGAGAGGGGTCTGATGTCCAGCTGCTCTGCTTGGCTAGCGGGGAGAAGTGGGGGGAAGAGGAAGCAATAGCAATAAACACGTCACCTTCCTCGCGGGAAGGCACCTGGGAAAAGGCGAGAGCAAGGAAGGTGATCCACAGTTGACGCGGACCGGGCTGGGAGACAAGGGGCACGCAGAGGCTGTGGGCATCGGGGTAATTTCTGGGGGTTTTGGCTTACCCAAGGGCGCGAGGATGTGAAGCCGACTGCGGCCAGTGACATCCCACCTCGGGGCGTCCAAGTAGAGCAATAAGTCACCTTGAGGGCAGCAGAGAGAGAGTTCATATTTGCAGACGATGCTTGCGGCCAGTTTATTTTTAAATCCTTATCACTAAACCCAGCATAGAAACAAAGTTTTTCTTCTTTTTTTATTTTTCCTCCCTAAGACAAAAACATTGTTGGGTTTTGATTTTTCCCCTCAAGCGTGCCGAAAGAGTTACATTCACCCGGGGGCGTGTTTGCAACTCTCACGTGTCTTGGGCTCCGAGGTTGTCACAATGGACCAAAGCCGGAGCCTTCAAAGATGTCAGGTTAGGAGACGTAGATGGGAATCCCTCCCAGCACTGCCTGGCACGGGTTTCCGACCCATGCGTGGTGTTGCGTCAGTGCCCAGATGTCTCTGTTGGTTGCTCTGCTTTGGTCGTGCCTGGATGACATCTCCAGATGGAGATGAGGGCAGTGGAGACCAACACTGGAGGGTCACCTTGACCCAGACGTGGTGGTGTAGAGGTCAGACTGGAGGGTCTTTCAGAAGAGCGAGGTGACTAGTTGTTGGCACCTGGGTGAGACCTCCTTGCTCTTGGTGGTGTCTCCCAGCTTGGCTTCTGCTGCTGTTGGGAGGAGCTACTGGAGCTCCTTCCCATGAGCATGGTCCAAATGGGGAGAAACAAGCTTAGGGACCCAAGAGGACTTTTCCTGCTGCTGGTCGGTCGCGGGTGGTTTGTCAGGTCGGGTGTTGGCACCGGCGCTTCTGTGTGGGGATCGTTTGGTTGGTTCTGCTGGTTTTAAAGGAAATCTAGCAAAGCGCTGGTTGACCTTCCCGACCTCAAGGGGAACGAAGTGGGTGAAGACTGAACACAAATGCTGTGGGGTGGGGAAGGTGGATTTCTCCCGTGTAGTACTTTGGGTTGCACTTTGGGCTCGTGGAAAAGGAAAAGAGGAGAACGAAAAAGAGTAAATAACCAGAGGGTTGCCCCATTCAGCTTGGCAAAGCCCAGGATTAGCACGTAAAAAGCAACGGGACATTTGGAAATAACGATAACTACGTCGTCCTTCCACCGTTTGTAGCACACTACAGTTAAACCTGGGCCAAAAAAAAACCCCCCAGTAGATGACAGGAATTGAAGACCTCGCAAATACCCTTTTTTGCTCTCACTGTTGACTTTGTGGTATGTATTAGGAGCTGTCTATCATTGTTGAAACACGTAGGATAGAGGATGCTCTAGCCAACATAACGGCACTGCGACTTGCAGGGTCCAACGAGCTTTGTTGTCACAGCCCGGGCTCTGCAGCGGAGGACCCTTCCCAGCAGACACCGTCCTACCGCTGGCCTAGGCACCCTTCACCCTTAACTGCTTCAGGAACGACTGCTAAAATTTTGGCCCACGGCTAGGAAGGAGGTGCGAGGCTTTCTCCTGAAAGGAAAGAGAACACTAAAGGTGGGGTAGAAAGCTCCAGGAGCTGAGCATGGAGGATCACCCAGTGTTACCGCTAATAAGATCTGACATGGGGCGGTTTAGTTTTAATTCCTTCGCTTGGATCAGTAGCAGATCTGATGCTCCTCATCCCGTTATGCCCAGGCAGAACTACTCATTAACTCAACCAGGGTGTGAGGAGGTGAAATATTCGCCGTCTGTTGGGCGAGAGGCTTTGGTGACATTTGACAAACCGGTGTTGGGTTTAGGCTTGGACCACTGCATGGCTCCAGGGCCACCACGTGGCTCTGGGGCCACCACATGGCTCCAGGCTTGCGTAGCTCCTTCCCAAGGTGGCTTCATGGGGCCGTGATGGTGGGGGAGATGCTCTCTGCCACCACGTGGGGATGTGGGGCTTGATGTCCCCCCCGGCTCATGCCAGCAGTGACCTGCAGCCCTGTCCCCTTCCCTGTGGAGGGACGTGGTTTTTCGGATAGATGGAAGGATGGGAGGAAAGCCCATGATCCCAAGTCATGGCTTAAGTGAAGGTCCTGGGGAGGTCGCAG